CCCACCTACCCTAGAGGACTAGAGATCCCAGGGGAGCCTGAACCCTGACTTGAAAGGGTGGGGGATTTCTCAAGAGAGCACCTTATCCTACCGGGAGCTGGTTGGAGAGATAGTAGGAGGGATTGCTCTATAGCCAGGTGTCGACCCTTAGGTGTCTCAAGAGTCAGAGGTTGCTGGGGGGAGGGAGGGGGTGTCCAACAAGAAAAGAAAGGGGAGGCTGGGTGCGGTGGCTCACACCTGTAATCCCAGCACTTTGGGAGGCTGAGACGGGTGGATAACCTGAGATCGGAGTTCAAGACCAGCCCGGCCAACATGGTGAAACCCTGTCTCTACAAAAATACAAAAAAGTAGCTGGGCATGGTGGTGTGCGCCTGCAATCCCAGCTACTCGAGAGGCTAAGGCAGGAGAATCGCTTGATCCTGGGAGGCAGAGGTTGCAGCGAGCTGAGATTGCACCATGGCGCTCCAGCCTGGGCAATAAGAGTGAAACTCTGTCTCAAAAAAAAAAAAAAAAAAAAAGAGATCGAGGGAGGGGAGAGAGGAGAAAGTTTAATAGAGGCCAATACTGCGCCTGTCTCCTGCTGCCTCCTCCACTCCCCTCTGTGCTTCATGGAGTCTCCCTCTAAGAGGGTGTTTGTCCTCACAGTCTCTTGGGTGGGCAGGTCATCAAACAATACAGCTGAGGAAAGCAACACAAAAGGTTGAAGGAGGGGATTTGTGGCTACATCTGTGTGATGGCGAAGCCCACACCTTCCACCTCACAGGAGCCCCCTGGGTCAGAGCTGCCAGATAAAATACAAATGTTGCATGGGACTTACTCAAACTTATACTTGCTTATCTGAAATTCAGATTTAACTGGGCATTGTCCCAAATATTACACGGGACATATTTATGCTAAGAATTGTTATTTATCTGAAATTCAAATTTAAATGGGCAGCGTGTTATTTTATTTGCTATATCTGGCAGTGCTACCCTGGGTCCATGCCTCACCCCCAAGCCCACCTGGCCTGAGTGTAAATGCCCCGACTCTCTGCTCACCCCAAACACAAACATAGGCCTGGCCAATTTCTTCCATGTGCTCATTCCACCTTCTTCATTTGCCAGTTTGCTTCCCTTTCTCCTTTGGTGTGTCCCAGTTCCCAAGTACCAGGAGCAGGGCTGCAAACACCTCCCCTCTCCAGCCCTCGGCTACTCTACCGTGCCCCTTCAGGATACCATGAGCCAGGACAGAAGATGGATTCTCCCTGACAGAGCAGAAAGCAGCCTGAAGGCTCAGCCCACCCAGCCATTCCCTAATAGACGGAGAAAGTGAGGTCCTGTTTTTTTTTTTTTTTTTTTTTTACGGAGTCTCGCTCTGTCGCCCAGGCTGGAGTGCAGTGGTGAGGCCCTGTTTTAAGCCACTGCCATGCTTGGCCCAGCCTGGCAAAAGGGCCCTTCCCAAGTTCTCCTGCCTATGGGTTACACAAAATGCAGGAGAGGGACTCACCAGGACTGTAGGTTACATGTATGAGTGTGCACATGCATGTGGCTGGCAAATGTGTGTACTCACACATAGGCACATGCATAGCAAAGGCCACTTCCAAGTGCCCCCTAAGATCACAGAAGAAGTTTTCCCCTTGCCCTGCCCTGACCCACTTCCTGCCTGCCTCCTAGCACCTCCTTACGGTACGTGGCCATCTTCTTGGCTCAGCCACAGTCTCTGCCCTGATATCCCGGCTGTCCTAGGTGAACAGGTTCTTACCTCCCCTCATGCACCTCAGTGCCAACAATACATAATGGTGAGGCACATGAATTTTGACATTAGACAACTTGGGTTCAGATTTAAGCCCTGCAGCTTACTAGCTGTGGGGCCTTGGGGGGCTTAATCTTTCTGTAAAATGGGGCTAATCAGAACTACCTCAATTTCATTTTTGAGAAGATATAGGACACAGTACCTGGTATTGTATACCTGGTATATGACAAGGACTCAATAAATGGAGACAGTGATTAATATTGGTGTCATGGTTGTCACTGTAGGGATGTTCTCTGCCCTGAGCTTCAGAGAAGGAGGTACTGCCCCCCCTTAGGGAGTGAGGCTTCCTGGGTCTGTTAATTTACCCATTAGGGAGGCAGTAGCAGAGAGCAAGGCCCGGATCTGTGAGAAGTGTCAGGCCCTAGCCCCTCCCTGGCCCCACATCCAATGGGTTGCTGGGCCTTATCAATTTGACCTCTTTTTAATTTTTTTGAGATGGAGTTTTGCTCTTGTCACCCGGGCTGGAGTGCAATGGTGTGATCTCGGCTCACTGCAACCTCCGCCTCCCAGGTTCAAGCAATTCTCCTGCCTCAGCCTCTTGAGTAGCTGAGATTACAGGCATGTGCAACCATGCCCAGCTAATTTTGTATTTTTAGTAGAGACGGGGTTTCCCTACATTGGTCAGGCTGGTCTTGAACTCCCGACCTCAGGTGATCCGCTCACCTCAGCCTCCCAAAGTGCTGGGGTTACAAGCGTGAGCCACCGAGCCCGGCCATCAGTTTGACCTCTTAAGGATATCCGAAATCTGTGTTACCTTCCCTCATCCACACTGGACCTGCATTCTCTTCCCTTGAGGCCCTCATTCATGACACCCCTTTCCATCTCTCCTTGTTGAAATCCTATCCTCCCTTAAGAAGGCCATCTCAAATGTGGTCCTAAGCAGGACTCAAGGCTTAGGGATCTGTCTGTGGTCTCTGGAAAATCTGGGACTATGATGCTGCTCCCATGGAAAGGGCCATCCAGGGTCAGGAGGAGAGTCTGAGCGTCTGCTGGTTGGGCATCTGCAGATGAGAGCCCTCACCACAATGGAATGGGGTGTCAAAGCAGGACAGCCTGGATCCCCAACCATCCCTGGTAAGGGGGGCTGTCCAGGTCTCCTCTAGCTTACTGGTGTGCTTGGTCAGGCCATCAGTTTGAGGCTTGGAAGCGGAGAATTTAGAGGGCATTTATTCACTCATTTATTTATTGCCCATTTATTTAAAAACATTGAGTGCCATCTGCAAACTAGGCATTGTGCTGGGTGCTGGGCGTTCACACCTGAACGTAGTGCCTGCTATGGTCATTTATGCAGGAGGTTGAGATACAGCCCTCATCTCTGGAGTAATTGATGATCAAATCCAAGAACAAGGGCTCCCAGGACCAGCTGAGCACTAATCACAGCAGGAAATGGCTTTCTACATCCTCATTCAGTCTTCCTGTCTTCTCCAGCAATCCAAGGTCATTAGATGGGAGCATAAGATCTAGAAAACCTAGCTCAGTGCTTTAAAAACATTAATGTGCTGATGAATCAATGAATCACCTGGGAGTCAGGTTAAAATCCAGGTTCTGATTGAGTAAGTCGGGGGTGCGGCCTAAAATTCTGCATTTCTAACAAGCTTCCAGGTGATGCTGGGGCTGATGGTCCATGGGAGTCCACATTTGCACGAAGCTCCCCAAGGTGGTTCAGCCACAGACCATCAAGGCTGTGATGGCCACCACTGGAGAACCATGTCCAAGGTGACAGGTCTTGCCAGCAGAGGGCACTCACTGAAGGGCTTTTGGTCCCATCATGTCAGGTTTGATGTGGGTGGGAAGTCTTTCCTAACTACAGCTTTCGAAGAATGTCCTGGTGAATGCGCTTTCACACCCAAGACTGCAGTGTTGGCCCATCCACCCATGGTCCCCTTGCTGGTGAGCTAGGGAGTATTTCCCAATGGTGCTTGAGGTCTTCACAGACAGAGCACTGGTGAGATGCTTAGGGAAAAGACAGAAGCACTACTGGACCTTCTACAAGGGGGCTTGTGCTGTTGGGATGAAAGATCACCCCATCCCACCCTACTGATCACATCACTTCTCCTTTGGGTTCAGGATTATGGGGCTGTAGGGCCTTTGTGGATAAGGCTGGGGTTTCCATGGCTTCAATGCCATATGGCTATGTGGGAGGACCATGGCTCAGGGCCAAGCCTCGCTTCGACATAGGAAAGTCCAGCAATAGATCCATGGTACAGGTCAGTTTGTCCAGTCCCTGTGAGACCATCAGCTTAGGGCAGTAGGGGTTCAGCCCAAGTCCCAACCTGGGGCTCAGAGACAGTAGCGTATTGATAAAGGCTATCATGGCCTGGGCACATCTGTAAAAAGCTAAGGTTGAAAATCTCCTTGTTTTGCTGGGCTGCTAAGATCTTCTAGGGCTCCCATCAGTAATCCTCGTATCACCCTAGAATCTCTGGTTATGCAAAAACAGGATTGCCCACCATCTGTTCACCTGTTCTGAGAGGCAGCTAATCAAGAACTTCAATTGTGGCATGCAGGACACTCCCAGAGGTCATCGACTGAGCAAGAAGCCCCAGGACTTTAGCAGGAGCTCCTTGCCCCTGGGCCCTTGAAGGGACAAGGAACAGGTGGTGCTAGGGATGGGTGACAGGGAAGGGCTTACACTTTTGGGGAGGCATTTTTCTTTGGGTTGGTTCAGAGGGAGGATATTTCCCTCTGCCAATGCTGAGAACATCTCCATTATATGATCTTGGACTATCACAGAAGAGTTAGGAAGGTCGAGGTCACACTCAGAGAGCTAGGGTACTATGGCATAGGTTTGGAAACCCGGGAGTATGGATGTGAAGGAAAATACTGGCTATTCACAAACAGGCTATGGGTTCAGCCTTGGGTCTGAGAGGAAGAAGGAGGATCATTCGTGGAAACATATGGCATAGAGGATCAAGAACTATTGGCTGGTGGGAGGTGGAGTTTGCAGTGAGCCAAGATTCTGCCACTGCACTCCAACCTGGGCAACAGAGTGAGACTCTATCTCCTCCCCCACAAAAAAACCAAAAACTATGGGTTGGAATGGAGCCAAATATGGGAACTCGAAGAGGTGGGATACAGGATACATGTCACAACTTTAGTCCCAGGGAACCTCAAAGGCCCTTTTGAGGGCCTGGCTGGCCCAGTCTAGCCCCAAAGCTTGGTCTGCATCTTGCCCTGGATTGACCCCTCTCCATCCTCTCTTCCACCAGGCGCCTAGATGCCAACCTCATCTCCCTGGTCCCGGAGAGGAGCTTTGAGGGGCTGTCCTCCCTCCGCCACCTCTGGCTGGACGACAATGCACTCACGGAGATCCCTGTCAGGGCCCTCAACAACCTCCCTGCCCTGCAGGCCATGACCCTGGCCCTCAACCGCATCAGCCACATCCCCGACTACGCCTTCCAGAATCTCACCAGCCTTGTGGTGCTGTGAGTGCTGCTCTGTTCCCCATCCCCAGTGGGGTTCTGCTGGGGGCTGGGGGCTGCATGTTTACCTGAGTTGGATTGGAGTCTGGCTAGCTTTGCTCTTCTTTGCATGTTGCTAAACCTTCTGGTCTCCCTTTGGAAAAGCATGAGGATGACCATTCCCTGTTGATCCCATAGGGTTATCATGAGGTCGAATGACATGAGAGCTTGAAAAGTGCTCTGAGAGTCACTAAAGGGCCAGGGTACTATATCAGAAAATAGGAATTAAGCTATTATTTTCTTGCCATGCACCTATAATAACTATACCATGATAACTGAAATATAAGTCAAGAATTTCTTAAGTAATTTCTACCATATTTGACAATTAGATGATGCAGTCATATGCTTTGGCACAGGGATGGGATAAATTCATCTCATTTCCCAGGCCTTAGGAGGCAGAGAAAAGCCATCACTTATAATTAGACAGCAAAACCCCATCACCGTAATTACCTGGGAGATATCATCCCTGGCAGGAACTGGGGACTGGGGTTAACTCTGCCTTCCCAGTGGGAACTTTAGAGGGCAAATTAGCTCCCAGCTAATTGCTATGAATGATTGGTAAGTTCATAGGGTAATTACTAAAAGGGCTTGGAGGTCATGTATAATTGCTTTGGGTTACACACTAATTGCTGCAGGAACATGGCTTAGGAACATGCGTGTTAGTGACTCTACTGAATGGTAACATTCCTCCCGCCCCCCACTTTTGAAGATCTGGCGTGATTTTCTAAGCGAGGGAATGGATGATACCTAGTTCCATTTGAGAGATGAAAGGCAGGCACCAATTTGTTTGTCTGATTCTCTGTCCTGGGAAGCTGGAGAACCAAGATGAATATCCTTGTGGACTATATTCTTCTGTCAGGATGCCACATCCTCCCTTCTTCTGGGAGTCACGGAGTAGGGGGTATTTATAGAGGGTAAACAGAACAAGGTGATTGGTTCTAACTTTGGTGATATCCCCGTGACATTGTGAGGGGGCGGGGTCAGGCCTCTGTGAGTGGTAAGATTACTAGAGAAATAAGAACTTCATGGTTGGCCCCAGATGGATAAGCAGGAGCAGGCATTTATTGAGCGCCCATGTGGTATACTGAAAACTCAAAGAACTATGAGATCTAGCCACTGCCCTTGAGGGGCTTTCGGTCCAGTTGAAAGAGCAGAATAAATACAGGGAAAAAATAATGAATGATGTAGTGTCACTTATGCTAACACAGTCAGATGATAAGTTCAGACTCATAGCAGCATAGGTATGGTGGGAAGGCTGAGGTGGAGGGGAGGGAGGCTTCCTGAGGGAGGTGGGGTGGGACCTGGGCCTGGAAAGATGGTGAAATGAAGAGAATGAGGACATTCCAAGTAGATAGCAATAAAGACACGGAGGGGAGAGTAAGTGTGTTTGACTGCCAGTAACCACGCCAGTCTGGCTGGAGCAGAGGGTCCCCATGCAGAGCTCAGGAGAAGAAGCTGGAAAGGTGCATGTTGGGACTTGCAATGTCAGAACAGAGAGCTTGGCTTCTATCTGCCCGTGTGGGTGGGGGAAGCTTGAAGGTTTTCAGGCAAGGGTTAAAATGGAGTATTTTAGGAAGATTAATTTGAAGGCTGGATTGGAACTGAGGCAGACTGGAGACAGGAAGGTCAGTTCAGAGGTTCTTGGTATCAGTCAAAGTCCAGTTAGTTTAAGGAGGTGGTAGAAGGGATGGAAGGGACGGCATGACTGTGAGGGCTGTTTTGAAGGAAGAATTGACCTGATTGAGAGATTTTCAGAGGGTAGAAGACCAAGAAGAAGGCGGGTCATGGGTGACTCCAAGGTTTGGGTGGGAGCCAAGGAATTGGCCTGTAAGTCAGGCCTGTTATAGATCTAGGAGGTATTGAGGGGGAGGCCCACTGAGGACAAAGAGGGACAAGGGACTAAGGAAAGAAAACCTACTGGTGTGGGAGCAAAGCTGATAGAGAAAAACTGGTCCCTTTGCATGGAGAGAGGCTAGAAACATTACCCCTTCGTCCTTCACCTGCCTCCAACTCATGGGATGGAGGAGAGAGGCTTTTAGCAGAGGGTGACTTGTGAAGTGGACAGGAAGCTGGGGAATGCTGTCCAGGGACTACAGGATGAGCTGTAGGAAGGCTCAGGAGGAAGAAAAGGAAGACTGGATATGATGGGAAGCAAGAAAGGTATTTGGTTAAAATCAAGGATTGTATAGGGGCCTGGCTGGAGGTGTGAGCAGGCAAGCAGGGTAGAAGAGAAGGGGCTTCTTTTCAACCCAACCCTGAACTTTCATCATCCGGGTTGCTCTGCCACATGTGGAATCCCCCTCACCACTGCTCTGGCACCAACAGGACCCCTAGGTAGCACTTAGTTGGACAGCAGTGGTATCATGTGTGTAATCTTGTCTCTTTATCTGGGCTATAAGCCTCAACACTTCCCCCAGACTGGGCCATTTGGGGTGCCCAAGACACCAGGGTTGAATGAGTGGTTTAGGGGAGGAAGTTGGAGGGAGGAGCTGGATGTTTAGCTGAGATGGTTTGGACCTGAGATACTGGGGGAGGCAGAAGAGGGTGGAAAATGGAGATGGAAGTTCAACAGGAGGCAAGAAGAATGATAGAGTTTGATGACAATTGGTTTATAGGTGTGAAAGAAATGGGAAAAATTAAGGGGAGATCACTCCCAGAAGGCGGTGTTTTCCCTTTTGGATGAGAAGCTCCCTGGGGACAGGAGTCTGTCTCCTGAAACGGAACCTCATGGAGCAGGTGGGTAAGGATAGGGAAGACAGACAGAAGCTTTAAATCCCCAGGCTCGCAGGAGTCTGGTCCTTACCCATCTATGCTGGATGAGGCCTGCCCATTGCCTTTATATTTAAACAACATCTTGGAGGCCAGCCTGATTTTCTTCCCCTTGTCAGTGATTTCCTTCTTCCGCCTGAAGATGTTTTTAAATTCTTGAATTTAATAGTTTAACTAGGATATGTTACAGTATAGAATAGTCAGTATTTAAATATCCTGTAACAATATATGCTTTTGAGCTGCAGATTCCATTCTTTCGTCATCTTAGAGATTTTTTGGTATTATGTCTTTGAATACATCTTCAGTCTCATTTTTGGATTCTTTGCTCCAGAAACATCAATTATGCTTGTGTTAAATCACCTTTATGTCTTCAGCATTTAGTTTTTGTTTTAACATTTTTGTCTCATTCAACCACAGTCGTCATGATTATCTCAAGTTTTCTCTCTGACACCAATTCAATTTTTAGCAGTGTCTGCACTGTCCCTTGCTTTACATTTATTGACTAGTTTATTTTTTAGTGATGTAGTTTGGTCCTCAATTTATTTCCTTAATCTACTGTGTCATTTTTCCTTTCACTTAAGAACATTTGTCTTTGAAATAATGTTTTATTGGATTGTTTTGTAGCAGAAGGCTACTGTGATAAATTCCTTTGTGTTCCTGGTCCATTAGTTATCTTTTCTTCTAGGCTTGAAACTTTGCCTGCCTTTTGCATCCTCTTTCTTTTTGCTCACAGTTTCCCTGTTGTATGTTTTCATAATTTCCATGCAATGTTATTTTTTTCCGACTTATGCTTGGATAGCTCTGTCCAGTTGTTCAAGCTGCATCACCTTCGGTCCCCCTTTGCCTGGAATGCCCTTCCCTCTGCTTGTTCAGTTCACCTGTCCTTCAAGGCCCTGCTCTGGATCACCACCTCTATAAAGCCTGCCTTCATTCCTCTGGCCTCACCAATCTGCCTGTTCTCTGAGTGTATCTGTAGCTCTCTCCAATTGTAACAGAAAGCTTCGCCTTTAATTATATGTTGTCTGCAGTGGTTTGCTGTTGGCTCCCGTAAGTACGTCTGGCCACTGAGTCAGGCAGACTGGGTCCTGGGGAGCCCGGCCATAGAAGAAGCCTCAGACTTGAGCCCCTCTGACATCAGAACTGTCTCCTAGAGCTTAGGGGAAACTTGCTTTAGCCTTGGCCTAAGGCTTTCCTCTCCCTTTTTCCTTTAATAGGAAATCAAAATGGGGTAGCCTATGGTCAATGGAGATTGTGGCTTCAGAAGTCAGTCTTGGCCAGTCAGTTTGCTCCTAGAAACAAAGGGATGGATCATTAGGGTCATTCTGTCCATGCTTCTGCCTCCACTTTCCCACTCATGCCACTGTGTGCTCTTCCATTCCCCGGCCCCAGTGCTGTCAGCACCCATTCTGATGCGTCTTTCCTTCCCGTGCAGGCATTTGCATAACAACCGCATCCAGCATCTGGGGACCCACAGCTTCGAGGGGCTGCACAATCTGGAGACACTGTGAGTTTTGAGGTCTTGGTCAAACTCTGTCCTGCCTGATGATGAAAGCCTGGAGTCCTGGAGTGGAGGGAGCACACACAGGGAAGAGCCAGCAGGCCTAGGTGCTGGGGTCTGGCCCCCGGCTTATTCACCCACATGCCCCTCCCTGGCACTTTCTCTGGAATATCACTGAGAATGAATTTCTTCCTCCTTCAGGTGGTCAGAATGTGCCCTCTGGGAGTTCAGAACGGCCCAGGGAGTAGGAACCTGGGATCTCCCTGTGGGCAGAGACCACCAAAATAATGAAAATTCTGGACAGAAATGGGAATTGTAAGAAGCTCGAGGAATTAGAATATGAAGCCTGGGGAATAGAAGGCACGGGGGTAGGGCTGGGGCTAACTTGATGGCAGTTTTGACATCTGTGTAAGGGTGGCTGCTGACGGAAGGGAGAGTAATACCACAGAGTAATGCTGGGATTGTTTGCCAATTGATCTAACTAGCTAAATGATTAACGGGGAGATGGCCCATTCAGCGCTCCAGCCTGACTATAAAAAGCACCCAAGCTGTTGACTCTCAAAAAGCCATATTATTCACACATCATCATCCTGGAATTCAGTTAAGGTCAGAATGCACCCAAACCCTCCCATCATTTCCTCTGGAGTCCTGCCAGCCCCCGCACAGTGGGCTGAGTGGGCCCCACTTGAGCAAACAACTGGCTGGGCTCTCTAAGTGTGGCCATCTCTGCCAGCTGGGGTCCCTCAGCTCCCATGAGGGAGCTGGCTACCACAGCCACCTGGTACAGGCCTGGGAGAGGGGCGATGGGGAAAGAAGGACCCCCAGGTCACCAAGTGCGAGCCACTAAGGTTGGGATAGAGCTCATGGTGTCGGGGGGATGGTCACAGTTTCTCTTGCCCCCGACTTGCTGCACCTCGCTCTCCATAACCAATCCCCCTTATTCTCCACCCCACTGACATACCCCAGGACATCACTCCTGAGGTGAGGGGTTTTCAAGAATCCAAAGCAGCAGAGGAGAAAATGCTGAGAGTCAGGCTGTGACCTGGGAAGCAATATATTGGGGAAAACCATTTAGCAAAACCTATCCCAGGAGGCCTGGGCTGACGGCATTTGTGGTGGTGCAGGGAAAAGTAATAGGGATGCTGAGACCCAAGCTCCACTCTTTTTTCCTGTGGGCACAAGACCCAGGTGTGTGGCTGCTTTCTTGGGCTCAGCCTGAAGTAGGAGAAACGGCAGAGCCAGCCCAGCTTTGCCGGCATGCTCACCCTCCTGAAGACTGACGACTGAGGTGTGGGGGACATGCCCCAGCCTGGAGGCAGGATGATCGGAACCTCTCCCTGCCACTGTGCGTGACTTGGGCTACATGTTCCTCCCTCTCTAGCTGTCATAGACAGCTGGGCAGTTAACTCTGGACAGTCTAGCCCACTCAATCAACATCTGAGAAAATTGATGTCCAGGGAGGTGTCATGGCCTGCCCAGAGTTCCTCCCTCAGTTAGAGACAGAGCAGATCTAGGGTGTGTTAATGAGAAAACATACATGAAAGTCCCTAGGGTAGAGCCTGCTGTCCTATTTTGTCTGGGTCAAATGTGAGCTGTGTGAGCCTGCTATGTGCCAGCTGTTTGGGGGAATCCTGGATGTAAGAGATGGTCATTAGCCTCCTAAAGCCTGTGCCCCCACACCACCCTCCCTCAGGAGATATAAGAGCTTTTAGGGCAGTGTTTGGAGTTGCCATGGATGAGCAGGGCAGGAGGGAGTCCAATGCCATGGGCCCTGGAGTGTGGGCGCTGTTAGCTCTGCTGGGAAATCAGTTGGGGAGGGGATACATATACTGGCTGTGTGTTGGCACCTCTAAAAAGCCAACTAGCAGCTGTTTCTTCACTTTTGGGGCACACTGCCTAATTCTTTCTCAATTAGCCACTGGATTGCTGCGCAGGGCATTTGGCTCAGCTGCTGCTGGCTGAATTACAGAGCAATCCTGCCGCTAAGCGCCCACTGTACCTTTCATCTACGGGAGCACTTGGTTCCATCACACAAAGCCCAGGGCCTGCACCCACTTTACCAATGGGAAAGCTAAGGCTAGGAACCTGGTGGCAAAGCCCTTGGCATCAGACAGCCTGGGGTACAATGCCAGTTCTACCAGCTGTGTGACCTTGGTCAAATCATTTGCCTCTGTGGGTCTCCGTTTTCTAATCTGAAACATAATGCCAGTAATATACTAGTCTTACAGGGTTGGCCTGTGGATTAAGTGAGATGATGTGTGTAAAATTCTTACAGACCCTGACAAGCTGTATAGGAACCTGCCCTACACTCCTTTCTCCTTTCCCATCCCCTCCTCTGAGGGCCTCCACCTCAACAATACCCCTTTCTTCCTGCCCTTGAGGGGGTGAGTTCTTCTTCCAACTTTTGATCTCCAATTAAAAAGGGGAAAAGTGTGTTCTTTATCCTCTGTTCCCCAGAGCTTTTGCTGGGGAGCCTGCAGGGGCAGCCAGATGTGGCAGGGGGAGGAGTAGATGGGAGAATAAAAGGAGAAAGAAATGATAGTCAAACCTTTTAATTGTTGCATAATTGGCACGCTTTGCAGCCTCAGTTATTACTCTGGAGCTTTTCATGTGAGCTTCTCACTGGAAGGGTATTTCTCCCTCAGGCCCTGTAAATCTCTGCCACTTAGACTTCTCTCATCTCCGGCAGCAGAGGGAAGATCAAACCCCTGCGGCCCAAGCTGCGGTTTGGCTGGAGCTGTGGTTTGGCTCCTCTGCAGACTCCTCTAAGTGGGGAAAGCAGCCCCCAGCCATACCACCTGGGGAGGAGGGGCCAGGAGCGGGCATGCACACGCGTGGCCACACAGGCATCTGGAACTGCACAGCCAATCATGTGCACATGCAACACACGTGCCACAGGTTGCAAGCCCTACATGATCCTCACTCCACATAGGCAGCCCCACCCCACAACCCAGGACAGCACAGAAATGCCCATCACAAATGCACCTGCAGCAACATGGCCTCTGTTATGGCCTCAGCTCTGGAGAGCAGGCTGTTTGGCTTCCAACCCTGGCTTTGCCTCTGCAAGCTGGGTCAGCCAGAGGAAGTAACTCCACCTCCGTGAGCCTCACTTCCTTCATCTACACATGGGCTGCCTCAGAGATGGGGGAAAGTGGGAGAGACATACACCATGCTCTCTTTTACTCAAAAAGGGCCAGCAAATTCAAGTGATTTGGGCAGGGTTCAGGGGATGGGCACTGTTAAGACCTGTCTCTTGCTTAGCAGAACAAATCAGGCCGACTTCACCCACCCCACCCCCTTCCTGCAGAAACCTTGCTGTCCCCTGCAGAAGTCTGACCTCGTAGGAAGGAAGCTCCTAGGGCATTTCTCCTGATGTAGTCATCATCATTCCAGACTTTGCCAAGAAACCTCAGCCAGAAGCAGACAGGTCATGCTCCATCCTGCATCCACAACTCCTTTCTACTTCCACAATGAGGATGACGCCAACTTGCTGGGAAATTGAGAATCACAGGTGGTCTAGCCCCCAGACTGTGAAGTAGTATTTCCACTTACCAGATCAGACCAAATGTAGGTATTTGGGGGTGAGTTGCCCATGTCTCTATAGTTTGTAAGTGATAGTAAACCACTAGAAACCATACCTCTTGCTTCGTAACATGTTGCTTCATTTAGCACGAGGTTCCGTCAAGGTCAGCTCAATCGTAGGACTTCCCAGGTATCTAGACTGAGAGATAAGAGAGCATGCTGAAGAACATTTTTAGGAAGGTTTACCCGGGAGGTCTCAGGACCTGAAACCCTAGGTCAGTGTTTGGAAATGTGTGCCTGGAGGCCATGAGGAGCTAGTCTAGCCTGACAGCTAATCTTTAAAAATCTTTGCAAGAAAAGAAAAGGTCTAGCAAACCCAATTGCATCCTAAAGGGCCCACCCTCATGCTCTAGATCTGGGAACTTGATGGCTGAATCTCAGCTAGAACCCAGGAGGGGACAGGGTCCAGGATGGACCCAGGGACAACAGTGTCTCACCTCTCTTGGGCCTGGATGATGCTCCCTGGGCCTTGTTATAACCTCATTGAACAAATCAGGCCCAACTGGAGCCCTGTGCTGGCTGGACACTTTCCTTTGGAGGAGAGCCTGGGGCCATAGTGAGAACAGAAATCTGGCCCCAGCTGTCTCTCTAAATCAGGACCGGCATTCAACAGGGGCCTGGGATGGGAAGAGAGCAAAGAATTCTGCCTTATAATACAAAATTGTACCTTCCACATCAAATCTCCTCTGGTGACGGATGCTCTGGTGATCTGTTTCCACAGAACGTTTTTACTTCAACAGTGACTGTAGCTAGAAAATGTTCCTCTCTCTGTGTGTCTTTGAAACTGCTAATGCCAACAGGAAACTGGCTCTGACTTGGTTCTGAGAGTATCTGGCCTACGCCTCACTCCTGGCCCTGATGTCAGCCTTTGGCCAGGGACAGGAAACCAGGTGGACTTCCACCGAGGTCCTCCCAGGGCTCGGGGATCTTCCCAGGGTAGTATGAGGATTCATCTTGACTCAGCAGACCTAGATTCAAATCCTGGCTCTGCCACCAGCATGTAATAGGTGTAAGTCACCTGACTTCTCAAGGGCCTCGGTTTCCACAAATAGAAAATGGGGATAATAGTTTTCAGTTGAGAAGATTGTTGGCAAGGATCGCATTAAATGAGATGACTTCACATGGTGCCTGGAACATTATAGGTGCTTGATTTATGTTGGCTTCCTTTCCTGTCTTCCCATTTAATGTTGGACAGAATGTGTCCTAAGGTGGCTGGGAGGATGTTACCCAGAAGTGTCATTTCACAGTGGTCCATGCTGTGTCTCATCTCCTCTGTAGGATGGATGGGAATTTCCAGGCAGTCAAGGCATAGCTACTGTGTTAATTTCCTGTGGCTGCCATAACAAATTACCACAAATTTTGTGGCTTAAAAAAACAGCAACGGCCGGGCGTGGTGGCTCATGCCTGTAATCCCAGCACTTTGG